CTTGTCCTGCTGAGTCTGGTTTCCACTGATGCTGATACCTCAGTAATCAGTGTTACTACCAGGGGATCTGTGTCTGGCATTGCACAATGGTGCATCTACATGAAAAAAAAAAAAAAAATAAAAGACTTAGTCTAAGAAAAAAGCAGAAATGCAATGAAATGTCAGATGACTTCTCACAATTACTTCAGGGAAGTCAGTGGGGGCTTTGCTGTGGTCAAGTCTTGACTACGGCTCAGATGATAGTCACCAGACACAGAGAAGGGTGTGTTGGGTTAACACGTGGGAGAGGTTTTTCTCTGCCATTATTGGTGTTAGAATATATATATATATATCTATTTTTAAGTCAGAAGCTTAGCTTCTGAATATGTCATACACACCACATAAGCAGGGTCATACATTTAATCTTACCAGGGAAGATCTGGCTTTTTCAGTGCTACACCCTGCCTAAACAAATCCTCTGCCCTGTAAATATTTCTTGCCTTCTGTGTTTCCACACCCTGCAGCATAATCTAGTCTAGTGCACTTTTCCTTACCTTCCTGTTTTCTCTGTGTGCAGGCATGTAAAGGACTTTAAATATTTCTTAATTCCACCAAAGGCTTTTTATCCAAATTTTGAGGTTCTCAGGCAACTATATAAGATGTGTTCCTGTGTGAAACCTCACTTGTGTGCTGCTAAATGACCCTGCAATCTGTACTAACTTGAGCTCATATTCACACATTCTGCATGCTGCAGAGCTATAAATGACTGAGCATGACTAACTCTGCTTAAAAATCCCTTCTTCTCTACTACACAGATGGACTGGGTGGTTGGAATACATCAGGGTGTGAAATGGAATATACAGATACGAATTACACAATCTGTTTTTGTAACCATCTTACCCATTTTGGAGTCCTACTGGTAAGTACTCCGTGAATCACCTCCAGAAAAGTCCCGTGGCACTAAACAGAGTCATCGCTAGTTTTGGGGAGTGATGGGAGATTCATAGCTATACAAGCTGTTAGATATCGGCAATTTTGCCAAAATCAGTAATAACAAACGAAACAGTTATAATAATTTTTATGGTATAAAGTCTTCTAAATGTCACTTGCTTCAAGGCAAATTCATTTTACAGATGTAGTTTGTACTTCTTTGCAATGTAACTTAATCAACATTAATGTGTTATTTGCTGCCTTGGAAATACTGTGTTAAATTTATTACCTGCCTGTGGCAACTAATGACATTGCAACTTAATGTAAAAACTAAGTTTTATCTACACTCCATCAGAAAGGGAAGTTTAGTATAAATATGGGAGATGTCATTAGCTATCATCTTATTTGTCTGTAATACAGAGAAAACTGCCACTAAGAGCTGAATGTCAAAAAATGAGATGGCTGCTTGAGAATGGGCTGCAACAAATGCAAAGTGTTAGGCAAGTCTGAAGCAAACCGAGTAGATTAAAATCATCGAATCCCAGTAGGATACAACCTACACGCTGGGGTAAGGCTACCCCTTTGCCTTTGGATGCTTGCCCAGCTTCCCCTAGAGGTCAGCATCACCCTGCTCCAAGAGCGGCACCAAAGCCCTCTCTGGTAGTAAAAATGTGACTTCTGCAGGAAGGAATTTAGATGTGACAGATTTCAGACAACCTGCTAGAGTTTCTACTCAAGCAAAGAGAATTCAGGCTGATTTTAAGATCATCCCTCTTCTGCACTGCCGCTTTAGTAATCAGCACAGTTACAAGTATTTAACAGCACCATCGATTGTACATCAGACATGCAGGTTACTAGTCTGAGGTTCAAAGTTTCACCAAACAGAAGACAAACTGTGGCAGGGAACAACAAAATCCTCTCAATATTACTCCTGGCAGCAGCTGTGGTGAAGCAGGGCCCAGCCTCCCAGCTGATTTTTGTGGAGGGATGCTTTCTGGACATGGGGGATCCTCCCACGCCCCAAGACTTTAGTGTTTGTGCAGTCCCCAAGGATGGCAGCTGCCATTGAAGTAGAGTTTCCTCTATGAAGCCAGCTCCCAATGGAATAATTCTGGCAAGATCCTGGAATCCTTGTTGAATTTGTGGTTTCTGAAATACAGCTTTTCTAGCTGCACAACTTACTACTGGATACTTTAAATACTGCATACTTTTACTAGTTTGGATATTCTGTGGGACTACACAACAAGAAACACATAAAAATATTAATGGAAACCCTCCAAAAGTAGCAGTAAGCAGAACAGAAATTGATTTCTTTATTAATGTGAAAATGTGGAAAGCCATTTTCTTTAACTGTCATGGCAAACAAATGTGATTCTTTGTCTTGTAACACAGGACTTGTCCCGGACAGAGATAGATACCACGCATGAACGCATATTAACTCTGATAAGCTATGTAGGATGTGGAGCTTCTTCCGTCTTTTTGGGTATAACGCTGGTGACATATCTAGCTCTTGAGTAAGTCTGATCCTTTTTCTTGTTTCACTTTTAATATTTTAGCAATAATCAATTTGTAGCAACCATCAGAATGTTTGGTAATTTTTGGTGCTGTGATGCATAGGAGGGAAGACCGAGAGCTGGCAGTATAAACATTGCTTTATTTTGACCTGTGGCTGTGGCGAAATATGGGGGATTCAAACGCTCATGTGTCAATACAAGCAACTTGTATGTTCCTAAATTCCTGATATTTCATAAATTTACCCTTGGACATGGGTAAGATATCATGTCAAGAATCTGGAATAGTCCCTGTATGTAGACTATACATTGGATGATATCAGCAATCTGGAATATTCCCTGTATATAGACTGTACATTGGACGATATCAACAGTAAAACCAGGCAACTTTTCTCTTCTCTTGCTCTTGGTGTTTCTTGTGTTTTGTCCTTTTGGATAGGTTTTGTTTTATACCATATGTGCCTGTAGCTCCTGGCACAACGGGGCCCTAGATCTAGGTAACTGTGGGTGCTTTCATAATCCAGTAATATGGCAATAACAATAATATTTGATGAAGTAGTAACAAGATGATGTTAAGTCTGTCTCTCCTCCACCAAGTGTGAAACACGTAGGAGGTCTCCAGGTATACAGATGCTCTGCTTTGTCAGGCTGGGAGATCTGCTTCAAAAACACACTAGCGATGTGATATAGAACACTAATGTAGCCACAACTTACACCACAAGAAGCCAGTTTATAATATGACGCATACACATTTGTGCTACTTCGCATCAGTGAATGCACCCAGCACAACTCATGCAATGGTAACCTTGTGGACCTTCCCCTTCTTTTTAGAAAGCTGCGGAGAGACAACCCTTCAAAAATCCTGCTCAATCTTTGTTCTGCACTGCTGATGCTGAACATCATCTTCCTCACCAATTCCTGGCTGTCCTCGTTCCACCAGCCAGGTCTCTGTATCACCGTGGCCGCCCTCCTTCACTATTTCCTTCTTGCAGCTTTCACGTGGATGTGCCTGGAGTCTGTTCACTTTTACTTTGTTCTTGTCAAAGTTTTCAATGTTTACGTCCCAAAGTACATCCTAAAATGCTGTCTTGCTGGCTGGGGTAAGTAAGCGGATTTCTTCGCCACTTCTGTGCTTGCTAACTTCTCTAAGATGGGGAATATTTGCAAAAGTAAGTTAGGACACTGAGCTAGTAGAAACGTGGTGCACACCCTGAGCCGTGAGGATGGATTTCTTCCCCAGGTATGTTCAGCTGAAGTTTCTTCTGCCCAGGGAGACTTCAGCAAAGTGCCTGTTGCTCTCTGCAGAGTCATATGCAAGGAAAGGCAAAAGTGGGCGTAAGGAACTGCTTTCACTACCCCTTCTGCTCTTTACAGGAATGATTTATCATTGTCCCTCATGTCAGTGGGTGTGCCTGAGGAAGTATGAGCTACCCACAGCCTTCATCCCCATTGGTGATGCTCAGAAGTGATTTTGATCTGCTTCCAGGCCTTGTGTCCCTACCTGCCGTTCTATGCATGATTCCCCCATGTGGGGTGGATTTGGCTTTCATTCATTACCTCTCCTGAGGACTTCACTGATTCAGCTTTCCTCCAAGCACTGAGCATCAGAGACTTGTTTGGGAAAAACATAATAAGAAGGACCCAAAATGCTGGCTCAGCTGTTAGTAAGGGTGTTATCAGAGGCACTGACCCAGGGCAGAATTCGGTCTGTGGTTTTTGGGTCACCATTAGATGCTGTTTTAAAGGGGGTTTTAGGCTTTTGAATAGTGTTCAGCATATCATAATCTCTAGCCTTAGATCTGATGTCACACGTAATTGATCTTAGGGACAGACATCCATGATGGTGGTGTTGGTGGCAGCCATTCTCAACAGAAAAGCCAGAACTGAAAGAAATATGAAAAATGGGAAATGAGTGGAAGGGGAGACTGATAAAACACTGTCTGGAAAATGTCTGTCTCTATCAGATCTTAACACAGAATGCTGTGCTCTGCTTATTTTTTGACAACCTGCTTTTTGTAATAATCAGTTGGCTTGTTTTACCAGATTGGATTCCTTCTGGAGATGTTTGAACACTCACAAACATTTTGCAAACACAGATATTTTTATGCCTACTCATTTGTAATTTACATAAATAAGGAGATGAAACCTGCTATGCCACGCATTTAATAACACTCATTTCAGCTTCAGGGGTAGAGTTTGATCCTAAGATGTATATGTCTGCTGTAATTACTCATCAAAGATTATGTCACATCTCTCTTTACTCTCCATTTTTTCTTTTTAATCTAAATATCTCTTTTTCTCTTGCCTTCCATATTAGGAATACCAGCTATTGTAATTGCTATTGTGCTTATTATAAATAAAGACTACTACGGCAATGGATCACAGGCTGAGAGCAATCCATTCAGCAATTTGTAAGTATAACACTTTAAGCTTTTTGATGGTCACCAGAGTATCTTAGAGATACAAGAAATAACCAGAAGGCACAACTTCTCTCTTGCTTTTGTCTTTTCTCCCCCATCTTAACCCTCTCCTTTTAGTGGTTCCAGTTCGTTGGATCATTTTGGATGCATGGCTACTATATGGAGTAACTCTCACATCAGTGGAGTGAGCCTGAGGATAGGGAGGGCTTCTGCCAGTCAGCTCCATTTTTACTTTCTGGAAAATCTCTTCATTTACATGACATTAACTCAGTCTGATGGGGCATTTGTATACGATCCTGCACGTTCTAGATTTCTGGTAAAACATAACAGCAGAATAATTGCTCTAGTATTTTGCACGTTTGCTTCTGTTTTTGTAATGTCAGTTCACATCACTGTCTCTTCATAGTTTCAAATTCTTTTCTTTAAACCATCTCAACCTCCTCTGTTTTCCAGTGGGAAAACACTACATTCTTTCATCCTTTTTAAAAAGGGTTTTATAGCAAAGAATGCTTCCATTTTTTCGCCTGCTTTCTGTTTAGCGCAATCTGATCACTTGTTGGTGAAGACTACCTGGAATATTTTAATTCAATTCTGTCAGAGGGGCAGCACACACCCATGACACCTCAGAAGGAAACTTGTTACCCATCTTCAGCAAAAAGGCAGTAAAACTCACTAATTTATGTCTGAGGAAAAGCTAACCAGCGCTCATCTCTGTGCTATACTATTATTTAGACTCCTAATTAAGTCCTATTTAACTTGGTTTTCCTAAGGCAGTGTGTCTTTGTGTGTATGCATTATGAAGCTGTGAAACAATTGTCAGGCTTATTTGAATTTAGCAGAAACATTAAAGCCTCAAAGTTATTGAATTTCTATAACATCCATAAAAAAGCAAGTGGAGAGTTCTATGAATGTCCTAACTGGGGGAAAGTAACGAGCGTTAGGGAATGCCCCTTACTAGGTATTGGAGAAGCATGTGGGAAACTTATTTAGGAAACCAGGCTTCACTAGTTTCACTGCTCAAAAACTCCTTATTGAATACATACCTCCCTTTCTTGCAGCTGCTGGATTCAGGAGAACACAGTGTTTTACATCTCCGTTGTGGTCTATGTCGGCTTAATATTTTTGATGAATACAGCCATGTTCATCACTGTTCTCATTCAAATCCACGCCATGAAATCCAGGACACCAAAGAGATCCAGATTCTGGAAACGGGGTTTTCTTCAAGACATCAGAAGTGCTTTCAGCTTGATGTTCCTTTTGGGCTTAACTTGGGGCTTTGCCTTTTTTGCCTGGGGAGCAGCGAGGATACTTTTCTTGTATCTCTTCAGCATTTTTAACACCTTGCAAGGTAATTTCTGAATGGAGTACTGCTATAAATACAACAGTTTAGGGCCCTGCAATAGAAGTAAATTTGTAACAGCATGTGATTCAAGCACTGTGGAAGAGGAGTGGTTGTATAGCTTTTGTGGTACAGTGTTTTGCTACTTTAATTGTAAAGCTTGATGACAGTGTTGTTTAGGTAGCATTGCAGTGATAGATATGCTGTTAAAGACACAAATTCATGCCTTTGAAACATGGGTCCCAATAAATGCATCTTTTCAGAAGCTGGCACAATCCTTTACATCTGGGCATAAAAATGCCTGATAGAATCTCCAGTGACTTGCAGATTATTCTTATAGCAACTCTGCGGCAAGCTCTTCCCGTTACCCTTTCATACGCACAAAGGACTCTGTGCATTTCTGGGCCAACACGATGGTGGCCCAGGGACCATCTCTCTGCCCATACATAACACACTGGTAGCTGAGTGGCATACAAAGAGTTTAGAAAAGGGACAGCAGGTTGGAGAATCCACCTGCAAACCTGTGAATTTCTCTTCTTACTTCCTCAGGGTTCTTTATCTTTGTGTTTTACTGCCTGCTGAAGGAAGAAGTAGTGAAGCAGTGCCGACTGCACTTTTGCTGCGGAAGATTTCGTCCCAGTAATTATTCTGGTAAGCATTGAGGGCTTTTGTTTAACTTGACTTGTAAGTCTCAGTACCTCTGTGTGTCTATCAAAATCAGTTGACATTATGAATGGGTGTAACAAAGGAGAAGCTACATCAGTTGGTTTAGTCTTTTCAGAAAATCAGACTAAAACTCCTGTATCAACACAGCAGCCCTGTGCATTATGTGCTGCTGAGGAATATGTAGCCTTCCATTTGCAGAGAGGGAATTCAGCAAGAATGCTCTAAGTAGCACATATTCTCCCTTCCGCATGAGCCAGCACGATGCTGTATGATATAAGGGTAAGGCTGCCACTCCTCTCCTTTTCCTACCTCCTGTCTTCTTTGGTATGACCTTCTCCAAATTAGTATTACTAGCTTGGGTCCCTAAAGGGGAAATAGAAGACTGAATTGCTGGTATCCAGCCCCACCTGCACAAGTGTGTCAGAGCTAATGTCAGGAATTGTTCCTGGTGCTGCACAGAGACCCACGGTCTCAGGGCAGGTACAAGGATGGCACAAGAAGCAAGAACAGACCTTTCTCCTCCCTGGTGTCTTGTAGTTTGAGATGTGACACCTGTACGGAATTTTATTCCTGCGCCTTCCACTCTCTGATTTCAGGCTGGAGTGGGTCAAGTGGAACTGCTGGATCTACACCAAGGCATTTAAACCACAAGTCACTGTCCACACCATCCACACCGTCCCAGACTTTGTGGAGTCTAAATTCTAATGGAACAAGTTCAACTTTCACTGGTTCAGATCTCCTTCCCAGGACTTCTCCAGATATAAATTTTAGGATCGGTAAGAAAAACTGTGCACTGCATAGACTAGAATGTAGTAGGCTCCATATGGTGACTGTCAAATCCCAACCAATGGAAATACATAGGAAGCCTTGCACTGCTTTCTCTGCCAGGCTTCAGTTTGGGGTTAATAGCTAGATTACAGATGGCTTTTGCCCTTAAGATCCTGGTATAGATCTTCTTTAAAAGGAAGGGAACTCTCTGCTCAGCTTCCACTTTAGGCACCTAAGAGATATTCTGCCCTGGGCCAGCTGGCTGTCATTCTCAAGGGACCTACTTCCAGTTAGGGAGCACTATCGTCTCTCTCATGCATTCCCAAAAGAGCAAAGATTGTGAGGATTACAGAAAACTGAACAGGACCTGCTGTCAGCCTGTTTAATCCAGAAGAATCCCAGCAGGAGGTTTTGCCTTCCAAGATGAAGAAATTGTTGCAGACCTGTATTCTGAAAATGGAATGCCTTTTAGGAATTCTGACCT